CACAAGGGAGGGAGGGTGGGGGAAAAAAAAAAAGGACCAGCCAGCTGATTCTAATTGAAGAATGGACTTTGGGATGCATCTGCCTCGTCCCCTTCTATGCCCTCCCCCCCAGCTCCCCAGGGGACTGGGTCACCCTGGACCTTGCTACTTCCTGGTTCTGGAGGCCGGGGCTGAGAGGATGGAGCTGTGGGTGCAGCTCAAGCAGGCTGGACTGGAGCCCCCAGGACTGGGCCCACCCCCTCCGGCCCTGAGGCGGGTCCCAGAGGAGAGCCCTGGGCAGACTCTCCTGTCCGCAGGGGCAGATTTTGGAGGTGCCAGGGAGACCCTGCTGTGGATCTGGCAGGAGCTGGTGAGTGAGGGGTTGGGAGAAGCAAGAGAGGAGGCTGAATGAATGAATGCAAATAGAAAGGGCCAGAGGTGGAAAGACGGAAACAAAGAGGAATAGAGAGAGGCAGAGACAGAGCGAGAGACAGGAACGGACACAGAGAGACTCAGAGAGAGAGACGGGTAGAAAGGAGAGACAGAGCAGGGACAGAGACAGATTCCAGCTGATAACCGATCAGAGGTAGCGCAGGGCCAGAGAAGTGAGGAAGCGGAAATAGAGACAGACAGGAAGACAAGACAAGGAGAGACAAGGAACTGCAACAGGCAGTGAGAGACAGGCAGGGAACGGGTGAAGTGGAGAGACGAGACCGGCAGCGCTCCCGAGGTACCCCGGGAGGCACACGCCGAGGTCCCTGCCCGGGTGCTCTGGGGCCAGGACCCGAGCTGGGACCTGCTCCCATCCAGGCCCCGTGGGACCCCTTGCCCTCTGGGTGGCATGCTGTGACATCCCTCCTTCCCCGCAGGGGAACCTGCGCCGAGTGGATGTCCAGCTGCTAGGCCAGCTGTGCAGCTTGGGGCTGGAGATGGGGGCCCTTCGGGAGGAACTGGTCACCTTCCTGGAAGAGGAGGAGGTGGAGAGTGTCGACTCTGAGGAAGAGCCCCAGGAGAAGCAAGAGGAGGAACAGCTGGGGCCGTCCCGGCCGGCCTCGTGCCTCCCGGACTTTGAGATGACTATCTGAGGGGCTGCTGGTGCCCTTTGAGATGCAGATTCATGCAAAAGAGAAGCGAGATTTGCAGGTCAAATCAGATTTGGAACCCACGTGCTCCTTAGCAAGTGCTTTCCCTGAGGCTGTCTGTGAGGAGACGCAGGCCTTGGCCCTGTGCTGTGGGCGCAGTTGTTTGCAAATGACGGGGAAAGGCACAGAGGCGCCGGGTGTACCTGCCGAGGAGCCTCTGGTGTGGGGGAGCCCCGGAGATCTTCGCAGATGAAGGTAAAGATCAGCGCTGTCCATGGGGTGGCCGCCAGCCCCGCACGGCTGTGGAGCACTTGAAACATCGGAGAGTCCAGATGGAGATGTGATGTGACTGTAAAATACACACCAATTTCCAAGGCCAGAATGGTAAAGGAGGACCAAAAAAATCTCAATACTTTAAAAAACTGATTACATGTTGAAACATTTTTAGTCTTGGTATCAAATATTACTGAAATTAAATTTGCCTGTTCAGGTTTTATTGTGATGAAATAGGTATAACACATACATTTGATCATTTTAACCATTTTAAGTGAACAGTTCAGTGACATTAGTTACACTCACATTGTTGTGTAACCATCACCACCGTCCATCTCCAGAACTTTTTATTTTTAGTTTGGTTTTCTGAGATAGGCTTTTTGCTCTGTAGTTAGTTCAGGCTGGCCTTGAACTCACTATGTAGCCCAGGCTGGCCTGAAACTTGCAGCAATCCTCCTGCCTCAGCCTCCTGAGTGCTGGAATTACAGGTGTGCACCACCACACCCTGCAATCTTCAGTACTCTTATCTTGCAAAACTGAAACTTTGTTCCCATGAAGAAATAGCTCCCCATTCCTCGCCTCCATCCCCACCTCCCTGCCCTAGTATTTACTGTCTGGGTCTCCACGGATTTAACTACTGTAGTATTCATTTGGCCTTATTTACGGGGTGGGTACTGAGGATTGAACCAAGGACATTTGCACTGAGCTACATCCCCAGCCCTTTAGCAGTCCGTTGCCTTAACCATTTGGCCACCTCAACCCATTCCCTAGCCCTTTGAAAAAAAATTTTTTTTTAAATTTTGAGACAGTCGCACTAAGTTTCCAAGTTACTTTTTTGTTGACAACACATTGAATTTAATACATTGGGTTGAATAAAATATATTTGTTAAACTATTTTCACTTTTTTTTTTTTACGGTTTTTTAATATGACGATTAGAAACCTTAAAAATTATTATTATTATTATTATTTTTGGTCTTTTTGAGACAGGGTCTCACTGCGCAGTTCAGGCTGGCCTTGAGCTCACTTTGTAGCCCAGGCTGGTCTTGAACCCCCAAGGATCCTCCAGCCTCAGCCTCCCGAGTGCTGGGATTACAGGCGTGCGCCACCACGCCCGGTTTGAAACCTTAAAAATTACCCCTGGGAATTGGCTTACTTCTGTGAGGTGCAGCACCTGCAGTGACGCCATGTCTCCACCAGATGGCGCCAGTACAAGGCCCTGCGGCACCACCAGTTAAGGAATCAGCGGCCAGAACAGAACCTCTGTGAGGTCATTAAGAAGTTGAGACTTAGTACATTGAGGTGTCGTTCCCTGACAGAGAGGTCCCGTGGTGGGAACGGAATATCCAGGTTCTGTAGAGCAGGGGACAGGCAGTGTAGAATCATGATCATAAAGATACCCATGTCAAAGATACAACTTACACTTTGGTAACTTTAACAGCCTTCGGAAACACCAGGACCAGGGATATAGCTCCGCGGCACAAGCGCCTGCCTGGCAAGCACAAGGTCCAGAGTTCGATTCCCAGTACCCACCCCCTGCAAAAACAAAAGCAAGTTTGCGGGGCATGGTGGCACACGCCTGTAATCCCAGCACTCAGGAGGCTGAGGCAGGATCGTTGCCAGTTTGAGACAAGCCTGGGCTACAAAGTGAGCTCAAGGCCAGCCTGAACTACATAGCGAGACCCTATCTCAAAAAAAGAAAACACACACACACACACACACAAAAGGAACTACCAGACTTTCCCAAAGCAATCACACTGTTCTGTGTTCCCACAGCACTATATGGGGAGGGGTTCCAGTATCTGTGTGCTGTGACACAAGCTGTTATCTGTCTTTGGGATTGTCTTTGTCGTCAGGCTAGTGGATGCCAAGTGGTATCTCACTATATTGTCCTCCCTGTTCCTCTCCCTCTCCCTCTCCATCTTTCCTGTCTAGCCAGGTGTGGTGATGCACACTTGTAACTGCAGCATTCTGGGAGGCCGAGGCAGGAGGATCATAAATTGGAGTCCAGCCTGGGCAACTTAGATTCTGTCTCAAAATGAAAAAAAAAAAAAAAAAAAAATCTGGAGATATATCTTTGTGCAAAGGCCCTAGGTTCAATCCCTAGCACAACAAAAGGTAAAATAAAATAAAAATAACACTCTGGAGATAACTATTTGCCACCCTGTATTCATAGGAAGTGTCACAAAACTTAGTTTCTAGAGAATACTAAGTGTGCCGGCCTATTGCCAACATTGTAACCGCTTCTTTCCAGAGATTTATTCGTTTTGGTTTTGGTCTTTTTGAGACAGGGTCTCTCCATGCAGTTCAGGCTGGCCTTGAGCTCACTTTGTAGCCCAGGCTGGTCTCAAATTTGCAACGATCTTCCTGCCTCAGCCTCCCGAGTGCTGGGATTACAGGCGTGCACCACCATGACCAGCTGCAGAGATATTCTTCACTGTGGTCTTCATTCCACAGGCCAGAAGGCAAAACCTTCTTCACACAAACATTGCTTAAGTGGGAAACTCTAGTTCCTAAGTCATGAGGTCTAGTTTGGTCCATCCTCATTCCATATTACATTATTTAACAAAGAGGAAACATTTCTGATGTAAAACTGCTATGGCTGAAGGGATTAAAAAAAGATGGAAGTTGTCTTAGATGCGGTAGCCTAATGTCTTGTGAAGTCAAAGCAGAACCTAGGAAAGGCTCACATGGAAGTGTCCTGGGAAAAATTTCCACTTGATGAGGGAGATGCTGGAGCTATGGACTGAGAAGAGGTTGCTAGTGTGGGTCCTACAGGTAAGTCCAGGGGACCAGTCAGGGTCACTGCAGGGTGATCTGGGCTCTCATTGTTATAATCCTGTAGACAAGGAGACAGCAGCTCGGGAGGTTTTGTGTCTAGCCCAAGGGCCAACCTCTGCTATAGCTCAGAACAAAGATGATAACAAGGCTATCTAATTTCTGGGGTTCTGCTTGCTTGCTTTTGTTTTGCAGTGCTGGGGATTGAACCCAGAACCCCACACATGCTAGGCAAGGGCTCTGCCCCTGAGCTGGACCTCAAGAGCCCTAATAGCTGGGTTCTTCACCACACTCCCTCCAGCTTCTGAAGGACCGAGCCATCCTCTGGGTATATTACGTCTCTCACTGTGGCCCCTGAGAGTGGGCTGAGGCCTTTGATGAAAGAGCACAGCCCAGGTCCCGCGCCCGCTCTGCAGCGGTCCCTCGTGTTCGTCAGCCAAGCAGTGACACAGCCTCTATCCACGTCAGCAGCACAGAACGGGATCCTGGGGTCCTGCCTCTCAGATGACCCTGGGCCCTCCATCCTGCGGCTCTCCGGTAACCAGATTCTGCGGCTCATGGCAGAGATAAAGGTGTCCCAGGACCACAGCAGCCCCAGCATAGACCCTGTTAAGGAGGATGCTGGGGCTACCCATGTGAGGTCCCTGCCTGGCCAGCTCCAGTGAGAGTGACCCTCGGGCTGGCTGTGCAGTGAGTGAGCTGGGGCATGAGGACAGTGCCTGATAATGCAGTTACTCCGTGGCGTTGCCGTGAATTGTCAATGGGACCAGGGCAGCAAGTTCTGAGACTTCCAGTGAGGAGCTGAGCTTCTAGTGAGCTCACATTTAGGGCTGGAGAACGTGAGCTGATCCTCGCGTGGTTGGATTAAGGGCTCATCAACTTCTGACCTCACACTTAACAGTCTCCTTTGTACCGTCTTCACTGTGGAGGTGACGTCACGGTCCTTGGGACGGGCAGTGGTTACCTGGGTTGAGAAGAGTGAGCCCTGAGAGCCACACTCTGTGCGAGATAAACTCTGAGGATGGAGTAGTCTGTGTTAGTCTCACCGGGTCTCATTGCTTCCTGGTGTGGCCCAAGTTCTTTTTGATCTTCTCTATGGCTGTTGTATCCATTATTACTATTATTATTATTAGTAGCAGTGGTAGTATTGTCTTTTTGAGACAGGGTTTCACTATACAGTTCAGGCTGGCCTTGATCTTACTATGTAGCCCAGGCTGGCCTCGAACTTGCAGCAATTCTCCTGCCTCAGCCTCCCAAGTTCTGGGATTACAGGTGTGCGCCACTGTGCCCAGCTTGTATCCATTATTGAAAGCGTGATTTTTAAGTCTCAAGGTATCATTTTAGAACTGTTTCTCCCTTCAGATCTGTCACCTTTTGCTAAATATATTTTGGTGCTGTTTTTAGGTGCATATCAGCTAATATTGTTAAACCTGTTTGATAGATTGAAATTCCCCCAGCCGAGCCTTCAGTATCAGCAGGGTCAGGAGGAAGGATGCAGGATCTTGACAGTGTGAGATCCTCCACCCAGTCAGTGTCTGCAGGAGTGACCCCATCGACCTGGGTATCAACCTGGGTCCTTTCCACACTTTTACTTCTGCATGTCCCTGGCACAGGATGTGGGCAATTAGGAGGTGTGAGGACTCTTTTCAGAGCCAGAAGGGCAAGGTGGTTAGGAACCTGGGGATTAAACTAATATTGTTATCATGTTTGACTTTAGACTAAATACCCAGCTGCATAAGACTCCGTTTCTTCGTCTGTAAAATGACAACAAAACCTCAATCTTAGGGTTATTGTGAGGATTTTTATCAGGGAGAAAATGAGGTTAAAGCATGTAGCACCGGGACGTAGAGGCAGGGCTTAATCGATGATATTAAGCAACATTATTTTTTTATTCACATTGCTGTTGTTAGCCATAAGTCAAGTAGAAAAGTTTTGTTTCACCATTGACCATCTCCATAACCTTTCTTGGATTCTTGAAGCACACAAGGGTCAGATTCTAAACCTGCATAATGGGTGGCAGCCCCTGCCGTCTTGGGAATGGAAAGATCACAGGAGGTGTAGGTAAAGTGTTTCCCACTGGGCCTGATCCATAGAAGCCCTGAAGACAGTCTCTCACTATCATTGTTACCACGTAGCCTTGCACCAAACGACACTGGGTCAGGCCTGCCCTCTGTCCTGAGCCAGTGTCCTGAGGTGGAAAAGAGGAAGCCGCACTGCAGGAACATGATCGGGGCGTGGTACAGGCTGCAGGTGAGAAAGGGTGGAGTTAGAGGAAGTCCAGGGTCCAAAACAGAGAATGAAGCCGCCGCAGACAGCGGCAGAGTCAGGAGGATGCCGTGATGTGGGCGAACCACACTGGGTCAGTCACTTGAGCCCATTCCTTCAGCCCTTCCTGGATCCCTCCCCACACGGGCCCTCCTTGTTCCCCTGTGACACGCTCGGCCTTCATTTCCGGTCTATTCTCTTTGCAGCGTTAGAAAATATTCCAGGCCCCCTACAGGGGCCACTGCTGGTCCAGTGCCTGAGTCCCGGTCGGGGTGGCTGTGGCAGTCGCCCCAGAGTGTTTCCTGCTCCTCATAAGAACTGGAAGGTACCAAGGCTGCTCCCCACCAGATTGCACCCCCAGGCTGACCCAGTACAGGAGGAAGGAGACCCCCCCCTCAGGCTCTGGGGGCTCTCAGGTCTCCTGCTTCCCCCGGGCCCTTCCCTCTCCTCCTCCTGGGCTCCTCCCTTACCAGCTCTGACCCTGGGCCGCCGCCTCCACAGCTTCCGTGTCTGTAAATTGGGTAGAAGTATGGATGCAGCCCCTCAGTGTGGCCTTGGCTCCCCACAAAGCAGCCCTGCGGCCTGCCCGGCAGGTGATCACTGCTCAGAAACCAGCACCCCTTGCTGTTATTCCAGTCGTTTCACCCAGTGCAGGGTCACAGCTCAGTGTCTGAGGGGCCACCCTGGCCAAGGTCACACGGGGTGAGGGGAGGAGCCTGAGCTGGTTGCTGCATCACCTACGGAGGTTAGCCCAGCCCTGGCCTGGAGATGGACATCTTTAGGGGCGGGACCACACCTGCCCTCCCTTGAGTCCTGAGTCCCTCTATCAGTCTGAGAGAACCCTAGATTCTGGCAGGTGCAGAGCGGGTACTGGGAACACCAGTCATGGGTCCCAGGACAATGGTGCAGGGTAGGCACAGAGAAGTCAGGGAGTGGGGTGTCACTGCCTGCATGCGGGCTGGTGCTCAGGAGGCTGAGCTACTCAGTCCTGAGAGGAAATGGGTAGAGTGAACACCGGCTCACCAGGGCCCCAGCCTCCATGACCCTGCCTCCCGCCCTGTCCCCGACCAGTTTCCTTCCCCAGCCCTGGGGCAGCTTACCCCATCCATGTGGTGAGTGTGGGTGGTGAATAATCTGGTCCTACAGGACCAAGGTGGGCCAGGAACTGTCCACGCCAACATCCAGCTGAGCTTTGAGATCCAGGATACGCTAGTGATAAAGGATCAGGGAGAGACCAGGAGGGAGGGAACAGGGAACAGGAGCACCCTGAGCACAGCCAGACCTGGGCATAGAGCAGCCCCAGGTGATCAGGACCTGAGAGGACGCAGGGCTCAGGGGCCTCTTCATTCTTTTCTCAGGAATTACTAGACTCTGACTTGAGCGTTCACTGCTGGATATACCGCAAAGAGATACTGCTTCGTGATTTCCTACAGACACTGCTCTTTATGCCAAGGGATGGTCCCCCAAATCCCGACTCTGCAGGCACCCA